CTTGAAGTGACAGATCGAAGTTGAAGTCTAATAATCAAATTTGTAAATACTGCAAGAAGAAGGGACACTTAAATAAGGATAGCTACAAATTACAGAATAAAGAAATGATGACTACAAGTACATATTCAGATATTTCAGGCGAAGCAGACCTCGTGGAGAACGTTGTAAGTGATGGGGAACTCTTAGCTATTTCTGACATTGAGTCTAAACTGAAAGATGATTGAGGGCGTGTTCGGTAGAGATTAAAATTGGATTAAAATTGAAAAACTAGCCGTTATTGTTGACTTTTATTAGACGAGTGGGACCTAATAACGACCATATTTTTAATTAAAATTGGATTTTAATCCTGGATAAACATGCTCTAAATCCAAAAATCGCTCATCCTCTTCGACTTAATTTCTTCCTATTCCATATTTTTCTTTATTCATTTGGGGGGTTCATTTTATGTTAATGCCTATTTTAAAAAAGTTCTCTTCATATACCCAGTTCATGAATTCTTATTTTTAAAAGAAAAAATTGTTGATTTTTTTCTGTTTTCTTCAAGACCTGGTTCATGATTTCCTCAACACTTAACATCTCGAATTCACATTATCCGATTTTACAACAATTTTATTAAATCTCTAACTGTCAAATCATGATACTCATATTTAATTCTAGGGTAATTGGCGCAAAACGTCCCTACCTTTGACAGTTGTTGTGAAAAACGTCCCTACCTTTCATTTCTTGGCGCAGAACATCCTTACCTTTACCATTTCTTGCGCAAAACATCATTTTCGTCCATTTTTGACAATTTTACCCTTCTACTAAAATAAAACAAAAACAATAGAAAAGAAAAATATAGAATAAATTACAATCTTACTCCTAAACTTTTTCTAAAAATGCAAATGAGTCCAAAACTTATAAAAATATTAAAAAAAAAAAAGTCTCCCCTCTCTTCACCTTCACCACCACTCCCAAAATTCCATTATTCCTCTTATATGCTATGTCGGAAATCATCTCACCCAAAAACAATGGCACTCCATTCTCCTCAAATTTCAACTAACCCACAATTTTTGACAGCACAAGCATCACAAAAACAACCCAAGTTTGCATTCCTTCCCTCCGATCCCCTCAAATTTCAACTAACCCACAAATTTTATCTACACAAGCATCACAATAACAAAAGAGGGGAAAATTTAGCAGAGAAATTTTTGGGTTTTAACAGAGCAGCCTCATTGGAAACTTGTTTTACTTCAAATTTTGATTTGGTTTCTTTGAATTTTTGTCATAGTTGAGAGGAAAAAGGTGCATTTTTTTCAGTGCCCTGTTTCCTCTGTTTTTT